TATCCATTCGTCCCTTTATTCGCAAAATATAAAAATCTCAAGGTACATACGAAAAGAGACCGAAGTGGAAAATGGTCGTTCTTAGAGAGCAGTACAGCACTCGAGTGAAAATTTTCCAAAGTCTTACGCATTGTTCGTGCGACTTATGCTGTATTTAGCACTAGGTCATATCTCATTACACCAAGAAAAATCAGGAAAATAATCAACTCTCAAAAAAGAGTTTATAACTGAAAAATTCCTTTATCAGCAGGATCTACCCCTTGATGAACACTTTTTCGCTTGAAAAACCCACGAAGGTTTTACTATCCGTTGCAATCTGATAAACCTAAGAATTGATTATCACCTTTGAGAAAATCATCGTTTTAGAGTTGATTCAGTCAATCAACGGAAAAGAGTTCATGAAGGGGATAGATCCCGCTGATAAAGGAATTTTTCAGTTATAAATGCTTTTTTGAGGGTTGATTATTCTTCTGATTTTTTGTCGATGATGTCGTGAGCTCTCGAGAGTTGCTGCTCGTGATCATCACATTCGACGCTTTAAAAAGATGCGAACAAATAATGTCATTTAGGCGCCCTGTAGACTTCTTCAAGCAGAAGTAAAGCAGAGACAGTGGGAATGACCGTCGAGTATGATCGTTGGTTGCACTCTATAGCTGTGGGTTGTAGCAGTCATAGAGCGAATGGATCCATTTGTTACGTTCTCCCCTCTATGGTTTAATGTTTGAGTAGAGTGGAATTCGAACTGGATTCCGATTTCATCAGTGTTAAGAACTGTGTGTTGTTCATACTGAGGTAAGCGTCTTCAAGCAGCTGTTACAAACTGATTCGTCGAAGTTCTAATCGTCTCTTCATCTTCCACGTGGCGCCTTGTCACAATACAGCGAAAGCAAACAAATACGGTAGTTTGATTCTAGAGAATCTCAGAGCAAATGACGAATATGCAAAATCGACATGTCTGAAACTGAAAAGTCGCTTTTCTCATGTTTATCCTGCCTTAGAGAAGAGAGCTTTCTTTCGAAGTTTTTTAGAAATAGTTACAAAAGTTTCACCCTTGTTATCTTGTGCGAGATAATGTTGTTTTTGTGGTTAAATTTGTATGAACAATATTTTGAAGCAACCAAATTGTATAGAGACTGATCACAGGCGTTTAAGAGTCCATAATCGTATGTCAATATCATGCACTGGCAAGGCCTTTTCCCGAGCGCACTCGAACATATCAAATATATAATCATCGATTTTGCCGAACTTCTGTTTTGTGGTGGCATATTTTTCAAGATAATGGCGGAAGCGCGAGAGGTACCTTTGATGTGCGCATACGTTGAAAGTTGTGTTCCACCGTAGTCAATCGTTTCTTTCGTTTCCCAGGTTGTGGACTAATTTCATCCTAAAATTTGATCCTCTTGATCATATAATCCAGTGAAAAACTGTTTGCACAACGCTTTCCCGCATTTTCATCTTCACCCTCATCATCCGAGATGGGATCCCATATTCCTTCAACTGAATCTTCGCATTCAACATCATTGGTCAATTCACCATCGTCGGCCTCACGGTCAAGAGTTGTTTCGACATTGGACATGTGGTAGTGGCTGTGGGTCATCGAGTTCACCACAAACCACAAGAAGTCCGATAGTTCAGGTTCACGATTTATGACAGTAGTGGTGATAAGTTCGAAATGGGCGTGAGAAAGACTGGTATCGGATGCTTGCTCGCACATAATGCATATATCGTAAATAATCGAACGAAGAGAGAAACAAACTCACGATATAACTTCGACGTGAAAGAGAGGAACACGTGTAGAAAGAAAGTAGAGAAACGTAGAAAAGAAACACGCATAGTTATAAATCATAGGCGTTGGTACCTCAGCACAGAAGGTGAAAAGATGATCACTATTGTATTATTTGCTTGCATTAATCCTTTGCAGTGTATAATGAAATTAGATGTGAAATGAAAAGTTCTACATGTTCTGCGACCCTAAGAATATCTCTTAGAGATGGTACTGATGAGATATGACCTAGTGCTAAATACAGCATAAGTCGCACGAACAATGCGTAAGACTTAGGAAAATTTTCACTCGAGTGCTGTACTGCTCTCTAAGAACGACCATTTTCCACTTCGGTCTCTTTTCGTATGTACCTTGAGATTTTTATATTTTGCGAATAAAGGGACGAATGAATAAATCTTCTTGAGGTTTTCCATACCACATTAAGATCTAGCTACCGCCCGAAGACGGGATCTAAAGGTTTTAAATACTTGGAGAACTTCACTCGCGGGTGCCGTAATTATGAAGGTTCGTGAATATGATGATCAAAGTACGAGACTAATGATCAGATTATAACAATATACATGTACAGTAAAACTTCACTATGTGACTACCTTTTCTTCAGAAAGTATTTACATCTCGGGACACTACTTGGAACGAACGAGCGATGTTTGTTACGAAGGTAGGTCTAGTTTATGAATAGCTTGCATCTATGATAAATCGTTGTGGATGCATTTATCTCTTTTAAAAGAACATCTATGATTAGCTAAATCAGTTAAACGCATAAATTCTTTGGTTTCGTCTGAGAAACGAATGAAATAAAACAGAGAATTTGAAGTATCGGCTGGCATGCTGTTGCTAAATTGCGACGCTTCCTATTGTGCGTCGTGATCTTTCTCTTTCAACCGAAAATATCTTGGATGATGATGATAGCAGAATCTCGAAAAGGATCTGGATGATAGTCGAAAGTAGGATAATTAAAAGTCTGCTCGAGTCGAGTAGACTCACCAAATTCTACACTGCTCCCGAAACCTTGGGTTCTAGGTGTGAGCGCCAGATAAATTTGAGAACCATGAGAGAACTAACGCGTAGGGTTAGGTGATGGTAATACCTCGATTTCATAGGTTGGATGATCGATTACTTGACGATTTTTCGAGCTCGACACTACTTGTTTGCCGATGGTAGAATAGACGATTAGCGAAACGAACGGATAATGACTGACTTGGTTGAAAAGGTCGATGTCGATATCATACAGGCTGCTTTGAAGGACACGCCCTCGCTGCTTCTCAGTTTTAAATTTTCTGTCTCTTCCATAAATACTCCAAGATGTTCCAGCTTAATTGCTAAAACTACTCAGTCTTTCTCCGCCGAGCAAAATCTTTACAGATGGGCTTCTTGTTTTCTTATTTCTTCTTTCATTTTATTTTTCTTTGCTTCGATTAATCGATCGTGCAATAGGTGTTGTTTTATCAACGTAAATCTTATCCAATTTTTTATTTTCATTGCTATCATTCAATGATATCTATTCTTTTTCAAGATTGGTAGTTTTCAAAATAAAAGCCTCCTATAACTATTATTCTTTATTATTTTATATAATTTTCTTTTGTTATTTCATGTTATTTTTTCCGACGAGTAAATTTTTCATAGCAATAAAATCTACGAATTATGAACAACTCACAACAATTAATGATTTAGCATTTTATTGCCCTTAATATGTGTGAGTGATTATTCTGATCGGATGCTGTGAATATTTCGTTTTTGTCATGTTCTTTTTACTTTTTGTATCATACCAACAGCATAATGAAAACGAAAACAAGGTTCTTGCAAGAACAACTAATCTCATATGTGTATGTTTACTAAATATAGAACCTAAAGAATGACGGATCTCCGTTGCTTACTACAAGATCGTTTCGCTTATATATATTCGATTGCGTCTCCTGGGATTTCAGCTTTCTCCATAGCTGACGATTTACGGATATGCCTATCAGAAATCGTCGGGTTCCACAGAATTTTTTAGTAATTTCTAAGATTCTTTTCGGAAATCATCGGAATATTTGAAGCATCTTGTCGAACTCGTTGTGATCAAAATCATGATAAGCTCGTCTCAGCGGCACCGAACAGAAAGGAAAACTTCAACACCGTTGATATTTAAACTATTCGTATATACATACAATCCACTGACTGTCATCACCACTGGCCATGATATGCTTCCCAATAGACTCCATCTATTTAGTCACTGTGAATTTCCCGATCAGAAGCTATTTCTGTGCGCTGATTCAGTAAAGATTTTCTGACATCCATTACCTTACCTATTTCTGTTGTTCTGTTAGCCTTTTTCCGTATCACGATTTCCACTAACCAAGGAATAATAATCTTCAGACCAGACACTAAACCTCCAACTAGACCAAGCAATGTTGTGACAATATATAGCACATCATTCCGACTCGTTATCGTATATCGACATTCTGTTGGTTGACATGCATCG